ATAAATTATTTGTAAAATGGACTCTGATTTTGATGTAAATATTAATCATCTATAAGTAACAATGTTCTGGGAAACTCACTATATATACAGTAGCTGAGCTCGTCTAACTCTGAGAAAATCACAGAAACGTCACCATGAATCCTTGACCCTTAGTCACTCACAGGAGATGAAAAGGTTCAAATCCCTCTTTGTAAGAACAGAAGATAACCAAATCTTCTCCTCAAGCCACCCTCATGTTCATCTATTTTTTCAATTACTTTTTTTGCTTTTTTTTAAGATTCCCGTCAGTCTACCAAAGTCCTTCTTTCATAAGTACAAAAGACCACCCAAAGTATATCACAGAGAGACTCTCAAGTATCATTACCTACTTTCTCTACTTCTTTTTTCCTCTTTCTTAACAACAAAAGCTTTTGATTCAGTTTGCACCCCCTATCTACCATGATGAAGAGATAGTACTCTGACACCTGGTACACAGTTCCTCCCCAACATCTGCTGTGTACTTGCGACACCTCAGGCATTTTTCTCCAGTGGGTGTGCTTGTTTCCAGCGAGAATCCATCACTTCCTTCTGAAATTCGTTATTGCAATATTTACAACAGATGACATATGATGATGCAGATAGAAGGGGGAAGGCAAAAGAGAAGAAGAAACATGAAGAGAGATGAAAGAAGTTTAGAAAAAAGATTGAAATGATGTTTGACTATCAACTTTACTCGTTAATTCTAAAACTATGGATTATGGTTTATGACCTCCAAAATGAAAAATCCTCCCAAAATAGACTATAGATGATTATCTTTGTAATATTACAGAAAAAAATAAAAGAAATGAACACAAATATCATCAAAAATCAAACATACTTGATAGTTATCTTCACACAAACACATAATAACTATATAATTCAATATGAGACTATAAGTATACTTGCAACAAACCTTCATCAGGAAGAACGACAACTTTTGAAACTAAGAACAATTCGCAAAGGCCTGAGTCAACTGCATCCGTGTGTCTCTGGAGAAGCTGAGAGAATGAAGGATGTAAAGGAGTGACTACTTTATTAATTTTTTCTTGCTATGTCAACAGCTTTCGTCAACAAAAGCATCATAAATTAAGTAGCTGTCATATTTTTGGGAATGGTTTAAATTTATCATAATGATCATACTAAGCCAATAATCTTTTTTAACAACTGTGTTAAAAGTACTAAATTTTGTGCACTAAATATATCATCAAGACTATCGTCATCTTCATAATAACAATAGTTGAGAAAAAAATCATAACAATAATATTATGTCATACCATGAGGGACTCTAACATATCTCCACCAGCTGTAACTGTGACTTGCACATTGTGGTTCACGTTGGGATGACGTCTGAAGAGTTCATTGCGCACCTCAAGGCACTTTTCTATCCTGCTTGCCAGTTCTGGTTGCTCCCAGGAAGCAGGGAGACCATTATACACTTGGTGGAACACATGCCAAGCTGGGAAAAAGCAATACATGTCTTTTAATATTTTCAAAGACAGCAAAAAATTAATGAAAAGCATGTGAATTGTGACCTTATCCCTGTATACTTTTAATAAATTATATTAGATTACTTCCACACACACATACACCACCACACTTATATATGCATATATCATAAGCATCTAAAAAGCTAAGATTTGTCACTGTACATTTTTTATTGTGGTGATGAAGGGCCACCTCCTCAGCCAGATGGGGCAGGACTGGTGCCAGGGACAGAAGGAGATGGTGCAGCAGGTGATGAAGCACCAAGAGAGCAGACATGCGTTTGCTGCCCAGCCGACTCTCACAGTAAAGTCTAGAGGATAAAAAAATATGTATATGAATTATATTTCTGCCAACATCTTATATACAAATTGGTCACATATTCACCCGCAGTTTTACTCAACCCCAAATGAAATGCTTTCCCAATACAACAAATGTGCATGAAATCAGATGACATGGCTGACAGTGCTTACCGATCTTTGATGATGGAGAAGTAAAAGGCTGAGACATTAGAATTAATAAATGCAAGAGAAGTAGCCGTAACACGGTGATACTCAAAATTCTCATAGTGCTCCCAAACCTGCAACAATCAAACATCATTAGTTACTTATACTTTTGTTAGTCTGTTATAAAGCTGTGAAGCAGAAATACACTGGTGGTATTTTATAATGAACAAATAAAAACAAAATACGAAATACAGTTTCTTGACATGCTTGATGGGACTAGACAATACAAATAAACTGGAAATTACAATGTCAATATCTCCTTATGTTAATATAAATTACTAGGAATGTATCATATATGTATCCATCTTTACCTAATAAGTACTTACAAACTAAACACAGATGTATTTCATCCAAAACTAAAAGAAACTCTAGCCCAAGAACAATAAACTGACTACAAATAACAAAGATGAAAAAATTGTGCTTTCACATTCTAAAATATCAACTAACTACTGTCCAGGTATTCTCTTAACCAAGAACAAGTGAAATCTTTAACA